ATACGTGTCTATTAAAATATAATTTCACATATTTAAATACATAAATTAATGAACGTAAAAATAAATGTATAAATAAATATATTTATGGTTGTTTAAAATGTTATTTCGTGACGTTAATTAAAGTAGTATTAATAAAAATATAATTATTAGAATATAATTTCAAAAGAATGCACAATTTTTGTATTTTAAATTTTGTTTCAATATATTTCATTATGTAACTGTCAGTTTTAAAATCAAAATTTTCTTACAGCAATTTTATCATTTGATTCTCGCATTCATTTGTAAGTTATGCTTTTAAAATATTCTTGGTAACTCTTAATAAATATTTAATTAAAATTACATTCAAATTTTTATATTCTCGAAATGCATTTTATTTAAATTTTACTTTAGAGTGTTAATTCAAACAAAATATAACAAGCACATTCAAATAAAACCATCTCAGTTATTTAAAATATATATATCAGATATTTAATTTTAAATGAATGATAACAACAGCTTAAATTTTGTATGAAATAATTAAAGATAAATTTAAAGCTTGTATTATACAAAAAAATGTTAAAACTTCAAAATGAAATTAATCTATGTATTCTACAGTTAAAACCAATAGAAAAATAAATCGAAATGGTAAATATGTATAATCGTTTATTCTTCTTGTTATACAATTCCTTATCATACTATACAGCAAGAATACTTACTATTACAGTTCCTTATAATACTATACAGCAGGAATACTTGTTATTACAATTCCTTATCATAATGTAGCTGGCTTCCAATACTGATCTCTTCATTTATTTATAAACTTATTCATTTTGTAAATTTATTCGTTAACTTAATAAGTAAATTTATTCTTTTAAATATTTTAATTAATACAATTTTAAACGAATTATATTTCAATCTATTCTCATACAAACGCAGATATATATATATTTAAATTCGAAATGAGATAACTATAATATATGTATTATATTCATGTTTCGTTAAATTTATTCAAATAAAATTCTTGCTCCATTTTTATGTGTAAATATCCATGCATCCATTCAATACCTATGACTATAATAAAGGTTATAAATTAATTAGAGAATATTAAGGGAACTGTCTCTAGGTCTTAAAAATTGGCTCAGAAAAATGCTCTATGACTTAAAATTCCATTTTCTTTCCCACAACTAAATATATCTGGCTTATTTAATGTTTAAACGGAACATTTCATACTCCGTCACTGGTGCAATGGTTTTCGTGTTTCATTTCCTTCAATAATACACCCACTACTTTTTCGAATGAAAGTAATTTGATTTACCCCTCTCTCTGAAGACATTCTATAAAAATTTAAATGAATTCGGTACCAAAAACAGATTCGCGAATTCGCACCGCATTAATTCAAAGGTTACTTACCTCTCTACGAATTACCGTGTTTATACTTTTCCCCCGTAATTCGAAAAGGACGCACACAGAGAACTCCTCAGAGAGATAGAGAAAAAGAAATGGAAATCGGAAGGAAATATTCGGAAATTCCAAAACTGGAATCATCATGATCGACCATGCGAAGATAGATCTTGAAAAAGATCCGGTAAGAAAAAAGAAACTTGCCGGATATCCGGCACTAACGAGTCGCGACTAACGAGGCAAGAGGTGTTTTTAAGAACTCTTAGCAGGCATTCCTCAAGAAACGAATCCTAAAAATAAAAATAAAAAGTGTATAGAAACGAATAAAAATTCTTAATGAGAAAGTAGAAAGCAAAGTGTCTTGGTTGGTAATAATTTCTTTTTTTTTTCCTCTTGATGGAAAAGTGACTCGCTGCGGGCTTTCATTAAAGTGGTTCCACGAATCGCTTACGGAATCTAACCTGCTAACAACAGAATGATTTCTTTCTGAGGGAATCCAGAAAGCCGATCTTCCTTGGAGATAAAAGCATCTGCTTTGAGGACGAATCCCCCAAAATAGAAATTTGAATTATGCAGCTGAAAAGGGGAATCAATTTCGGTCGATACACGATGCTGATGTCGCCTTTTCAAATGTCACTTACATCCTTTGATGCAACCTTACCTTCCGATCCATCATTATTCCAGGAATTTGTATCCGAAAATGTTTGATCATGCAAATGGCAAGCACGAATAAAGATGATTCGTAATAGGAATAATGTTATGTAAGAAATAAAATGCAATACAATATATTTGTGGGGAATTTACGAAATAATGGATTTGTATTCATTATTCATGTTTAACAACACATTTATACTTAACTTATTCTTTACCTAGCATAGAGAAATTTAACATCATAGCGAAAAACAATGAATTTATTTTTAATTTTACCGTTGAATTAATCTTTCATTTTTAAATTAACTTACGTACTTTTGAATTAATTCCCAAAAAATTAATTTTTAGTAAAGGTCAATAGATTGCAAGTTTGAGAAATATTTTATTTTAAAATTTCCAAGAAATCTATTGTTTCAATAATAGCAGTTAAAATTTACAAGAGATAATAAGTAATTTGTTTAAAGGAACTTCTAATTTAGAATTAAATATCTATATGATATATGTTACACGTATATTTCATGTTTAAAATGACGTGTTTTAATATATATTTATTAATTATATTATAACAACCTATAGAGGTTCTTTTAAAATCACAAGATTAGTGCAGTGTAGCTGGCTTCCAGAATTGACCGCTTACTAACGCTCAATCTGTTGCACGTCTGCCATTCTGAGAGCGAATGACATAGAAAAATGTTCCTGGCGCTAAAAAAAAAAATAACGTAATTCCACAAAAATATGCCTTCAATAAAATATGCACTTTGTTATGTCGGTGTACTAAGTGCGGAATAAATATTCCCTTTCATATTAGTGAGGTTTATACATTGTTTACCGGGATGTTTTTTGCAGTCACAGAAGGAAGAAGGATAGCGCAATTGATTATGTTGCTCTGTGAGCCAGTGGAGCTATTTTCTTTGTAATTCGATAAGCGGAAAGAAATGTGCTGAGAGCCGCACATTACCTAATGAGAGCTGAACGGTAGATGAAAACCACAGCTTTCTTATTCAATCAGCCGGCTGATGAGGTGGTGCTATGGGGTGTAGTGTGCTCAACAGATGAGATGAGTACTATATAGTATAAGATTTTATATATATTTTATATTAAATGCATTGAAAAAAATCTTTATTTATGTCTTAAATTTACAAGTGTTATTTTACAAATCTAAGATATTATAATCATCAGTGATTTAACACAAACAAAAATTAATTCTTGTAATATAATTTAAGCTAATTTAAATCGTATAACTTATTCTTGAATCAAACACGTTGGTATATTTTTATAATTCATTCATTCACATTTAGAGCAGCACTTTATAATGTTAAACATATTTAATGATAAGAAATATCACATTCATAGTATTATGGTACAACAAATTAATTTTTAATGTGCAGATTCCAAATAAATTTCAATTTTTTATGATAAATGTTCATAAGCGGATAAATAAAGAAAATTAAACACATTTCATCTTGCTTTAAGCACCAGACATTAAGAAAACTTGAAAAATTTATTTGGGGACAACTGTAAACATTTCTGAGTTTTTGAGTTTTCCTGATTTTTTTTTTTTATATTACTTGTTAATCCATAAATTCAACAACGCATACTTTTCAGAGCAATTATAATTTTAATAGTTTTTAATGATAAGAAATGTAAGATTCATATGGTAAAAATTAATTTAAATATGCCATAAAAATATTTTCCGTACAACTTATGCATCCATGTTACCATATAAAAATATCATAGTAAAAATATCTTTTAATATAGAAATTAGAAATAAATGTCAACATAAATTTCAAGTTAAATGTTCATATACACATAAATAAATAAAATAAAATACACTTTTATTGCTTTAAAAACCAAACATTAAGAAAAACTTGAAAATTTGTTTGGTGACAACTGTAAACATTTCTGAGTTTTTTATTAGCTCATAAAGTATATCATTTACGAGAGTAGCGAGTTTAGTGTCTTGAATACTTAAGATTCGAATCCTGGCGGTGGCATGGATTTTTGTTAGCTGTTCAGAATCCAAGTCAAACTGTCGGTTTATGTCTAATTAGCACAAAGTGTGCAAAAAATGACCGTAGAGAGACAAACCAAACCAGACGTATGTGTTCCTCTCTCTGAGTTATATGATATATGTGTAAGATTTTATATTTATTTTGTATGAAATATATTAAATAGTTATGTATGTCTTAAGTTTATAAATGTTATGTTAAACATGTAGGGTATTATAATCATGAGTAGTTTAACACAAACTAAAATTAATTCTCGTAAAGAAACTTTCACTAATTTAAAGTCGTCAACTTATTCTAGAAGCAAACACTTAAATTTATTTTTGATCCATATATTCAACAACGCACACTTTTTAGAACATTACCATATAATTTTATTGATTGGTTTTTAATGATAAGAAATGTAACATTCAAAATATATTGTTAAACATTAATATAAATATGCTATAAAAATGTTTACCAAACAAATTATATACCCAGTTTACCACATAAAATACCATTATAAAATATTTTTCAATTATTTTCAATAATTTTATTCAACCACTCAATTTCAAATACATTTTTTTAAACTTGTAGCGTGTTATACATTTAATACAGTTGAAGTTAATACATTTTTTTTTTTTTTAAATATTAATTCATTAATTAAATTTAATTACTAATTTTTAATACTTTGTTGTTGTTGTTTCTTGTTCCACTTGGCTGGCCAAGCCCACGAGCCCATACGTACTCATGATTGAAGGGGAAGGAAGCAGCTTCTGTTGTATTGGAGCACCCGTAGGTAGAAGTCTGACTTTGGCTCCGTGACGCTCTTACAGTCATAGGAGACCGGGACCTACGGCTTAAAGGGGATTCCGAACCACTACAAACATCCACGGCACCGCCGGGATTCGAACCCGAAACCTATGGCACTGAGCGCCAGAGCGCTAGACACTAGGCCATTCAGGTCCCAAATTTGTGAATGTCAACGGCACGCGGTGTTCCCAGGTGGTCGCCTATCCAAGTACTGACCGCGTCCAATAATACTTGACTTCGGTGATTTAACGAAAACCGGTATATTAATACTTTAAACTGAGTTTTAGCAGTTTGCAAAGAAAATCGAAATCAACGGGAAGTAGCTCATTTGATAAAATGCAAGGTTTTCAGCATCTTTCGCGCGAAGGTGAAGAATGCGAGTTCAATTCTTGAGAAAATCAAAAATTCTTTGATAAATTTTAATTGTAATTATTTAATAAAAATTAAATAAAATAAATTTTTTTCTTTGTTGACCTAAGTAAGATTCAACTTTAATAAAAAAATTTTATATTACTTGTTAATATACAAATTAGAAATAAATGTCAACATCCATTTTTATGATAAATGTTTATATACATATAAATAAATAAAATAAAAGCACTTTATACTGCTTTAAAAAACCAGACATTAATAAAAGTAGAAAAATTTGTTTGGTGACAACCGTAAACATTTCTGATTTTTTTATTAGCTCATAAAGTATATCATTTACGTGCTGAGTGTCTTGAATAGTTCCGAAATCAGGCAGTAACGGGCCTAGTTTGAAACATACTTAAAATTTGAATAATTCTTCAGTCAGAACATATTTTGCGACGATTCTGCAGCTTAAGAACCTTCCACAAATGAAATTACGGTGCCAGTTACCATTAATTTCTTTAATGTTTGTTTTCTCATTTAAACCAACCGCGGAAACTATTTTCATCATTAAACAGGAAATGATTTTGGATTTCAGCTTAAATTAACAAAAATTTAATTTATGTCTATTCTCAGTGAAGATGTGGCTGTTCATAAATTTAAGAAGACCATTAGCTTCATTGAAAATTATTTTCGAAATTACATTTATGCATGAATTCGTAATTATTTTCATACCTCCAAAGCTCGAAAATAAATTCCAAGTATTTTTATGGGGAAAAAATTGTCACACGTAATAAAAGATTTGTTTTCAGATTAATGTTAAAAAAAACCAAATAAATAATAATATGTTTGAGATAATTTTGTCTTTCTCTGAAATTTGCTTTTAAATCTTATTGACCGAAATGGATTTATTGTTTAATATATAATCATAGCATTTAAATAATAAGCCATAATTCGTGTCATCAGTTATTAATGTAATAAAATATGTTTTTTTTTTAAATTAATGTTAAAAAAAACCAAATAAATAATAATATGTTTTAAATAATTTTGGCTTTTGGGGCAATTTGCTTTTAAGAACAAATTAAGTTTTAATCTTATAAGAACAAATTGATTTATTATTTAATATATAAACATAAAATTAAAATACTAATTCGTGTTATTAATTTGTACAAAAGAATAATTATCAGTTATTAATTTTTACATATCACTTAAATTTCTTTAGTTATTTTAAAGTAAATTAAATTCAAATGAATTGATTGCCAATTGCAATTGTCGTATAAGAATGCATTGAAATAATTGTATTTCCAGAGAAAAGTAAAACATTTCAATATTTTCAAAATAATTATATACTTGCTTTAATTGTTTAATGTATTAAAATAAACATCTGATATTTTATTACTACTGTGTCCAAAAGTAAGACCAATTTTCAATTTAAAATTCCTAGGGCTTATGGAATTTCAATTTTTTTTTTTTTTTTTTTAGGTTGCTGGCACTTTGCCTTGACATCTGTGTGAAATTTCAAGTCAAAATATTCGTTAGTGTTTGCGTAACTTTTGGCTTTGTGAGACGCTAAAACTGATTCCGATGATTGCAATAAATTTTGTTTTCGGAAACGTTCAGAGAAGGTATTCGGTGAGCATTCCTATATCGGTGAGATATGTTGAGAAGTGGTATAAACAGTTCGAAGAAGGCAGAGAACACGTTGGAGATCAAGAGCCCTGTGGTCGACCAACCTCAACCGACGAAGCTCACGTCAGAAAAATTAAAGATTTGGTTCTTGCAAACCGTCTATTTACAATTAGAGATCTTGCTGATAATGTTGGAATTTCAAAAGGATCGGTGAATTCCATATTCGGCATCAAACGCTTCAAATTTCGATTGATACCGAAAACACTGAATGCGCCTGCTCACACTGCATTGATTCTTCGTGACTTTTTCGCCAAAAATGAAACCCATATCAGTCCCAAGTGACATGTTTGTTATTCAAGTAGCAAATTCTGTGACAGATTTGTTATTCTAGTAGCAAATTCTGTGACCGATTTGTTATTCTAGTAGGCAATTCTGTGACATATTTGTTACTCTAAAAGCGAATGTGACATATTTGTTTTACTAGTAGTCAATTCTGTGACATATTTGTTTTTTTAGTTGCTAATTCTGTAACATATTTGTTATTCTAATAGTGAATGTGACTTTGTTTTTCTTGTAGCCAATTCTGTGACATTTATTATTCTAGAAGCAAATTCTGTGACATATTTGTTATTCTAGTAGTAAATTCTGTGACATATTTATTATTCTAGTAGCAAATTCCGTGCATATCTGTTATTCTAGTAGCAAATTCTGTGACATACTCTCGGTCATTCTAGTAGCAAATTATGTGCCATATTTGCAATTCTAGTAACAAATTCTGTGATATATTTGTTATTCTAGTAGCAAATTATGTGACATATATGTTATTCTGGTAACAAATTCTGTAACATATTTAATTATATCGTACCAAATGACTTCATGTTAAAGTTTCTGGCATTAGAAAATAACAACAAAAAAAACAATATTTCACACTTTTGTACATAATTATTAGTTACAATCAGAGGGATTTTCAATTAACTAATTACAAATAATTAATTAAGTCAAATTATAAACTAATCTGTAACCAAAAAAGAGTTTAAATATTCCAAGCAATCACAGTTTTCTGTTGGTTTCTTTTTTTATGAATAATAAATTACTTCAATTTTCCTGCAACAGAAAATTCTTAGATATACCCATTCGTAAACAAATGCCATTTACTTTCTCAAGAACTAGATGAACATGAAAGTTTAGTGAAAATCGGATTATGCTTGTTTAGAGGGGAAAATCAAATTATATATCGCTGCTTAACTCTAATGGAATTAATACAAAAATCAAAGCATAAAAAAAATTCTGAACTTTGAAATACTTTTGACTATTTTAAGATAAGTTCTGAACTTTTTTTTTTTTTTTTTTTATTTCGAAGGAAGGAAATGGAATTGCTAAGAAAATATTAAACTTCCTCTGAAACTTCCATTGAATTTTCTAGTTTAAACTATTTTTATTGCATGAAGCAGAAGAATGGAATTTATTTATTCTTGTTCGGAAAGTGCGCGTGTGTTTCTTTCAGAACATCAGGAATTCGATTAGAAAAACTGAAGGACAAAATCAACTCATCCCTATGCAGAGAAATTGAAAATGGCGGTAAAATTTACAATTTAAACCCATTTTTCTTAACAGCTTTCCAGTATTACTCACAAATAGGTCACTGTTTGAATTTATATTAAAAATGCTGCAGCTTTACTGCTTTTTCCATTAAAATAGGGAAATAGCGTGGTTGGAGACAATTCGGTCAGCTCTCCATCGTTCATATAATATTTACTATTATAATATATTCTTAGATTACGAATTGTCATCTTCATTTAAATTCTTTTCAGAAATTCCTGCTGTATCTGTTTTTTATATTAATAAGAGTTGGATTGGTTTTAGTTTCAAAAAAGTGGTATAAAAATGTGATGGTCTTAAGCCTAACTATTGATGAATCCAGTAAAATGTATCGTTTAATGACAATGTATCGTTTAGTAAAATGTAATATATATCGTTTGCAATCCTCGGACACTACCCAGATACATTAACTTATAATGTTTCCCAATACTTTCTATTATTACGTATAAATAGGTCAGTGTCTGAATTTATATTAAAATGCTGCAGCTTTAAGGCTTTTCTTGTTAAAATATGGAAATAGCGTGGTTGGAGACAATTCGGTCATCTCTCCATAGTTCATATAATATTTATTATTATAAGATACTTTTAGATTAGGAGTTGTCGTATTCGTAATTCCTTTCAGAAATTTCTGCAGGGTGTATTTCTGTACAATGACAAGAGCTGGATTTGGTTCTAGTTTAAAAACGTAGTACAAAAAATGGTAAAAAACTGAAGCCGAAAAGAAAAAGTATATCTATAAGTGAAAAATTTACTGTGTCGTTTACAATTCCAGTATACAATATATCGTTGAGCTTTTATCATAATCAAAGACATACTACTGTGCCCAAAAAGTAAGACCAATTTTTAAATTAAAAATCCCGGGGCTAATGGAATTTCATTTTTTTTTTTTTAGATTGCTGGCACTGTCTTTGACATCTGTGGGAAATGTGACGTCAAAATCTTCATTAGTGTTTGAGTTAAGCTTGGCTTTGTGAGACGCTAAAACTGATACCGGCGATTTTGAAATGTCTGTATTCATTGAGCAAAAAACTTGCATTAAATTTCATTTGCGAAAAAACGTATAGAATGATGCAGAAGGTATTTGGTGAGCGTTCCTATATCGGAAAGGCCGCCATAGGGGTGTTGTGTCATTGAAGAAGAAAAATATAATCGTTTGGAAAAAAAATGATTTTAGAATGCTCGTTAATTTCTTGTTTTGAGACCACTTTGCATCAAATGTAAATAGAGCATTTAATTTTTTAACAATAACATCTAATGGTTAAACTGGTTATAAGGCATTTAGGAAAAAGAGCAATGCAACAGAATAAACAAATACATCAAAAGGGCAGCTAACATAATAAAATATAATAATATAATAATAAAAAATTATACTAAAACGATCAAGTTTACGTTTCTCTTACTCTGGGAAAATCTCCGGAAGAACTTCAGATGGATTTCCACTGAGAACTGAAAAGAAGAAGAAAATATATTTTTCAACTACCTGGCTTACACAAGAACTAAATTGTACGGCCACCTCAAAACGAAATCTAATTTTCCTACTAGGTTTTCAGCGTTCTGAAGATGTCTGCGTAGAGAATTTTAAAGAAATTCAAGTGAAATGGGACCATGTGTAAAAAACTTAACAAAGTGAGTCGGGTTAAAAATTTATTTTACAAGACTTTCGATTGATGTACGTTTCGGTGATAATTA